ATGAACAAGAAATAGTCGAAGTTCCAATCTCGGAACCATTTAACTCATTTTTAAATCTTAACACTCACGACACCATCTCACCTTTAAATATCAAGATGTACACTTGTCCAAATTGTCATACTCCAAATTCAGTTAATGTTGTTAAAAATGATGATAATAATTCAGCTAATGGTGATTATTATACTTGTTTATCTCACGGAAATTATGGTTGTGGATGGAAAGGTGAACATCAACCAAATGAAGAAAATATAGCAAAACATGTATTTTCAATTATTGGATTTAAACCATTAATAATTAATTAATGTGTTTTTGCTTATCCGTTTATATGAATTAATTTACAATTTTTTTTTGGATAAAATAAAGAAAATGCTGTAATAAATAAAATTGATTAATATTAATATCGTAAATATGTAAAGACAACATTTATTACATTCCAAAATGCTCTTTTATCTAAAATTACTGAAACTTTTATTTTATGACTTTATTGCATTATTATGTTTCATTTATATGTGGAAAAGAGTAATTATCAAGGTGTGGGAAATCCCTCGGGTAGGAAAATATAGTGAAAACGACCGTATACAAGTAAAAGTAGATATCTATTAAGTGGTAATGATATATTATGTAGAGAAAAAACAGCATTGAAGAACTTGAAAAGAGGTTATAAAGTTATTCTATATTAAACGCGGCAAATAGAAAGCAGACAAAGGAAAATAAACATTTTGGAAATAGTCTTGAAATTATAATTGATCGTCACGTACGATCATTTTAAGTTTGTATAGAAGTATAAAATTTTTCATCATCATTAAGTGTCACACAGAATTGTTCATTAATTAACAATTCGTCCAAGAATGTACATAATAAAAAGCGGAGGATACTAACCAAATTTGCTTATCGAACATCTTTGCTTAAAGAAAAAAAGTTTACTATGGGGATGCTATAGACCAAATGTCGATTATTCATAGCCAGATCGCCAATTTTATTATTTTGCTGTTATTCAATTAATTTCATTGTTTATTAAGAGGATTAGTAATGAATCACAAGGTAGCCTGCCGTGAATGAGTCAGAGCATCCCAAGTCTGTTAAATATAATACAAAAGGTATGTAAAGGTTGACAATGGAATCTTTGATAATAATATTTTACAGGGCATGAATAATATATTCGATTTCAAGATGCCGACTAATTTGGCTTTACCAATTATAAAGAATAAAAGAAATTTTCATTCAATAATAAAAATAATAACGCGAGCCGGGATTATTATAACACATTATTTGATACTTCCCAATGTTAAATTTGAGCAAATACGTTCGTATAATGAAAAACATTATGGCTCAATATTTTCTCAAAATCACTTATTTCTATTTATAGAAATAGAATCAATGGAATAGTGATTTTATTTTTAGCACCAAACAAATATGTTTCATCTCATCGATAATACACTTTTAATTTTATTAAAGAAATTTGATCAATTATCTGATATCTAATTGAATATTACTATTAGCAAAACATTAGTATACTTTGTAATCATAATACTTTCATCATTTCCGTATTCATGTATTTTATCATAACCATCGTCTTTGCTTTCTTCTTTTCTTCCTTAATTATTTCTTTTAGAATTATTGGTGAATATCAAGGCTGGTTGCGTAACCCTAAACAAAACTTTAATATTAGTCACTTTTGGCGAAACCAAAACTAGTGAATAAAGTTTCGTCAGCTGACTAACAGGAAATGCGGACAAATTTTACTAGGATTATCCTATTACTATACGAGATGAAATAGGATAATCTATGCGGGTTATATAAGGACTCCGGATTATTATAATTGAGGTAACATCCAGGTTATATATTAGTAAATTTTAGAAAACTACATATCAAAATTAAAAGTTTCACCCATATGAGACATGTGACTTCATGTGTAACCATTGAAATACATTTTTATCTAAAGAACTAAGAAAACCATATTAATATAGTTGTTGATGTTTTTTAAATAAACCCATATCTGAACAATAATTTAGTGTTAGGATTAGTAATAAGAAGAGTCATTAGAAAATTTACTTAAATGGAAAAGAACATAAAACTTTTTATATTAATATCAATTACAATTTAACCCTTGCCTATTTTTCTATTATAAATTTTTTTGCTTTACCAATAATTTCATATTGATATGACATAAAATTGCTTTACCTGATTTTGGATATGACTTAGAGTAAAAATTTTCTACTATGCCCAAAATAGTCACACCACTTATTACCAAATTTTCATTAGCAAAAAAACTTATTCAAAAATCAGATGTTAATTATAATAATCCGGTTTTCCGATGAAAAAATAGTAATAATAGGAACCGAATTTATGTTGCAACCGGTTTCAACCTCTATTCGTTATCTGATTTATCTTTTTAACATTTCTAGCTTTTCCCAAATGTGCAGTTTGCTGTTAGCAATGTATTTATTGCTGATTGCTTACAAAAAATATGATGATGGTGGTTTTTTTGAACTGAATTTTGTAATTTGTTCTATTACGTGTTTAGAAGATCTTTCACTAAACAAGAAAGATCATCTTGTGCCAAATTTCATTTTTGATAGTAAAATCGTGCAACTTCAATAAAGCTTTTTTTTTATTAATATTAATAAAACTGAAAAAAAACTATTTCATTGTTGCTTAGTTTCTAAAGATTGCAAAAATAGAGAGTTTTTTCAATTTTATTAATAAAAAAAAAATGCCTTAGTGGTTTGAAGTTGCACAATTTTTTTGATGTATATATATATTCATCATATCCTCTCATTATTAATTTATTTTTTTGAATTAAAAAAGGAAAAGGGAAAAAGACATTTTTATTTTTATTTTTATTTTTATTTTTTGGATATCTTTAGATGACCTGCATCATATGTATAAAATATTGTGCGCGCAGCGACCAATATCATGACATCCTGGATGTCACTGAAATTGTCCAATTTCGATGTTATCGGACGATCACTATTAAGCTATTCTTTCAAATGTCACTGTTTATTAAAGTTTAATTATATGATTTAATTATATCTTATAGAAATGTTGCATAAATAGTATATCAATCATACTGACGTCATTTTGTACCTAAAATAACAAAGCAACCAAATATAGCTTAATAGTGCTGTCTGCCCGATAATAAATCGATAATAACAAAAATTTGTTTTGGAAAAAAAAAATATGCTGTGATATGTTTTTTTAAAATTATGGTCATATGATTTTTATTGATCTTTACACATATTCGTCAATTATAAAAACATACTATCAACCATTAATTAATATTTTTTCTTTAAATATTATTACATGAAGAGAAGAGAATTTGAAATTTATTATTATTAATTAAAACTTTGGGATGGGGTGTCTGGGTACAAAATTTTGATTGGCTAATTAGGGATAAATATTTCGTTATTAATAAAATATTAAATACATTTAAATGATAAATAAATAAATCTATGATAAATTACCAATCACTCCGCTTTTTTAATAAAGCTTGGATTTCTTTTCTTTGTTTTTGCCATACAAATTGACAATTTTATTCCTTCAATGAAAAAGAATCCTCTCTCGATAGCAGTATCATATGATGTCTTATTTGCGAACGTTACAAATGCACATCTCTTAATAATCCAATTATTTATTTTTATGGGAGGAAGAGTATGCGAGAAATAAATGTTAGCAAACATAAACCAGATTGTGTGAAAAAGTTTAAAGTGGAAACAAAGAAAATTTATACCTTATTATATATGCAGTCAATTTCAACAACGCTTCCAAATTGTTCTTCCAATGTTGACTCTAACCTTGATTTAGGTATAGTATGCAAAAGATTACCAACAAATGCGCGGTTATCTATTAACAATTTAAAATTTTAATTTTTATTTGTTTTTTGAATTATTTTTCTACAAGGGATCAAAAAAAATCCAAAACATATAAATACCTAATTTTTGTTGTTCCGGATAAATCCATTCAGTATCTTCATTTACACTTAAATCAATCAAGTTATCTGCCAGAACATCACTATTATCCGTTGTAGAATCATCTGAAGAATCAGAATTATCTATAATATAATTTAAACATTTTGAATTTTTCTCTACTAATTTAAAAATAAAAATAAAAAAACTCTTATTTCTTTATTTCTTAGCAAAGTTATAAAAAACTTTACCATCACTGCTACCCTGATTGTTACCGAAGCTTAGAAAATTAAATTGTTGGGGTGATATTGGTGGTGGTAAATTATTATGTTTTTGTGTTGGGGGTTTTGGTGGTAAATTTTCTTGAAGATTTGATCTTGATGGATGTTGTCTTAAATTTTTCCTTAAATGTTCTGCTGATATTCGTTGCTGCTGCTGCTGCTGTCGTGGGTGTAGTTGCTGTTGTGGCTCAGGCTGTTGCTGTAGCAGTTGTTTTATATCTTCTACTGTTGTTGACTGTTTTTGTTGTGGTGGTAGCCATGATTGTTTTTCTATTTCTTCTACAGCTAATAAATTTTGTTGCTGTTGCTGTTGCTGTTGCTGTTGCTGTTGCTGTTGCTGTTGCTGCTGTTGTGCTTGTGCTGGAGTTAATAGTCTAAATAGCTGGAGTAATTCTTGTTGGGCCTTGATCAAATTGTCTTGTAGTTCAGCTATTTTTTCATTTTTTGACGCTAATAAACCATCTTTTTGTTTCACTTGACTATTTAAAAAATCACAATTTTTACAAGTATTATTATGATTATTATTGTAATGACGAGGCGACATATTTTTTTTTAAAAATAAAAAAAAGTTGTAACACTTGAACATAATGGACATTCTTGTTGATCGTAACGTGATTATTGAGAATTGATCTGTGTACCGTTTTACGAATATATTGAGTACATTGTACAGCCAGCTAATAAAATGTAGGTCTTTCTCAATATATATGACCATTCAAGAAAACAAGACATTCTAATGTTCTAATGGTTAAAACTAAGAATAATTCGCTAAGCAAAAAAAAAATTCTTATTGCAAAACTTCATAGTGACACAAACTAAGGCTTTTTAGTCCGAAGATTCTTTAGTAAATGGGGGCTGGGAGACATAATAATAATAATAATAATAATAATAATAATAAATATTATGTAAATATTAAATTTGGTCAGAAGACCTCGGAACCGGTTTACCCCAAATAACAGTAGTACAGCTCGAGTCATCTGGTCCTGACCGCATATTGATCAGCAGAAAGATTTCGTGACAAATTTAACACAAAAAAAACATTTTACTTGATTTTCTGGATTTATAATTGGAGTTTTAGTTGGTTTGTTGTTTAACCATTATCTTCTGGCTTTCTTTTTTGCTTGTGCAGCTAGTTCGTAGTATATTTCCCAAGTAAACAGAATGATTTACAGGATACTTATAATTCATTCTGAAGAACGACTGCGATTTAGAATCTAACTAAATCTGTATCCATCAACTTTACTTCACTATCACTATCGTGAAATAATAATTTGTAGATCATGGAAAGCTTGTCAGAAGATAAGAAAAAAATCAACACGGAAATATTTCAAGAGTTCAATTTAATAGTTACTCAATCAACGTAATGAACCAATAAAAATAATTAACTCACGGAAATTGTCATGAAGGATTATAATTTACGTCATTTATTTAATTCTAAATTCTATTTAAAAGAAAGAATTTAAAATCATTCATTCGCTTCAAGGTTGGGTGACGAAAATATTTTGGAGTGTAAAAGTATCTCGTCAAATGGGGCACATGTGACGAAAAATGACAAAAGATAAAGTCAAAACTCAAATTATGATAAAGATGACAAAAATACAAAATTCGATTTTATTTAGATTTAATTAAAACAAAATTTAATTTTAAACATTTTTTTACATCGTAAATCATGTTTCTTAGTTGGATACTTGATTTTTGTACACAAAGTTTAGTAGGAATAGATGTTGGTTTCATAACTTCAAAATCTGTAGAATCATCTGATAATTCTGATTGTTGAAATGTTTCTTCATTTACTATTTTAATGGTGTAACCATACATCATCTAACATAAAAAGCTGTCATTATCCTTGTCATTGAATTTTATATTATTATTATGATAATAAATCCATCTTTAACCTAATCCCGTGTGTAATTATTTTTTTTTTTCCATATTTTATATTTGTCTCAATTTTTTTTTATTAATTTTTTCTTTTTATTTTTCTTTTTCTTTTAGCAAGTTATTTTCATTGTAAAGCGTTCCTGACTTGGTAAATAAGGGTATAACATCTAAGAGGGCACCCGCCAAGAATCGCTATCAAGGTACAATAGTGAAACTATATACTCATGGAAGTTACACTTTAGCATAAATCATTAGCACTTTAAATCGCATAAAATAAATTGTATTATTATTATATTGTGAATTGGACGTGATACCATATTTAATGATGACGACAAGACCACAATCTTCAAGTTAATCATTAATTTACACTCGGATGCGATCTTATACTATCACTGCTTGATTCATTATCGCTTTCATTAATTGATTTTGTTATTCTCATTATCATAAAGAAAATTTTCAAAGAACTTTTTTCCTCCTCAGAAGTACGTGATTTAAATGTTTTTTCCTTTTTGCAAGCAGCAGCATACTCAATACAAAGGAATGAATGAATTTAAATTTAATGGTTCTCTCCTTTATTAATAATTTACTATGCGTAACATTGGAAAAGGATTTTTCATTTAGTTGAGTGATCGATTTCTCGGCTATTTTGGGTAAATATTCTCTAAAACTAAGTTTAACGATGTTATCCAGTAGAAAAACCTTGGCCGGCTAACATTACTACCTAAATTTTGGTAATTTATAATTGTACAACAGCATATTTGGATAAAACTGGAAGAATTATCTTTTATTTCAGGATTAAAATAATAAATTCTATATATATAATTAATCGGGAAATTTTACTTTCCTGCGATTTGTTGATCAGTGGACACTGGTGTTTGTGACCCTTACAAGAACATTATTGTTTGGAGACACTGGTGTCTAGGACCCCTTACAAGAACATGGACACTAGCGTCTGCGATTTTTACAAAATATTGTTATTTGTGGACATTGGTGACTGTGACTTTTGAGTTTGTTGTATATTTATGGTGTAGAGACATCAGTGCCTGTGGTGTACATGTTGCTTGTGGACACTAGTGTCTGTGAATCTTACAAGATTGCATAAGATGTAGGGACACCAGTGTCCGTGGTGCACATGCTTATTTGTGGGCACTGGTGTCTGTGACTTTTGAGATTGCATATTATGTAGGGACACCAGTGTCCATGGTGCATGTGTTATTTGCAGACACTGATATCTGTGACTTTTGAGATTGTATATGATGTAGGGACACCAGCATCTGCGGTGCATGTGTTGCTTGCGGTCACCAGTGTCTGTGACTTGAGATCTTTATATGATGTAGGGACACCAGTGTTCGTGATGCATGTGTCACTTGCGGACACCAGTGCTTGCGATTTTTGAGATTGTATATGATGTGGGGACACCAGTGTCCGTGGTGTAAATGTCATTTTGGACGCTGGTGTCTGTGGCTTTTGAGATTGTTATATGATGTATGGACACCAGTGTCCGTGGTGCACATGTTACTTTTTAGTCATACAGATCCATGTAATAAGGGGTGTAAAATTGAATGTCTTCACACCCTTGTTCGATGCCCTTACTGTGTAGCAACCAAATTTGAGATATAGCTTTATCATATGAACAAAAATTTTAATAAACCGAAAATAATCTGACCCTCAAAGTTAAATTTGTTTAGCGTATCCAATTGTAAACAAAAGTAGAAATACATGTCCAAATAATTACATTATTATGAATATTTATAGTTTTGTTCACCTAGGTATGTCATTTACTTTAAAAATAAATAAATAGATATTGAAAATTTTCTTTTGCACTTTATTCCTACATAAATAACAATGATTAGAATAATTAGATAAGCAATAATATGTCAATTGCCAAAAAAGGAGAAGAGAAATGTAAGAGACATTTAATACTATTATTAAAATGCATCAACGAATTGTGATTAAAATTAGAGGTTGGAATCGACTAAAATAGTCGACTAAACTTTTTTTTTGAACAACTAATAGTCGACTACTAATACTACTAATACTAATACTAATACTAATATTATGCTAATATTATTATTATTGTTTGACCAATTACAAGTTTTGTGCTTTACCATTCAAAATGGAAAATTTCTATGCGGAAGAGTATCAATACCATCAACATGATAATGACAACAATAATGGTGGTGTTGTTGATGATAATTTTACATGTGAACGAATAAACACTTCCGATACAAGGTCCAATAGTTCATTGTCTTCAAGTTCCAATGATTTAAGCGGTGGTTCCAGAAGACCTTTAAAAAACGAATCGTAACACATAATTTTGTGTGTAAGTACTTTGAAAAAGTGAAAGATTCAAAATGAAATAGCAATTCGATTACCTTTTTTGATTTATACAAAAGAATTTGTGCAATCGATGAGTTGTTTAATTGCTGATTATCTAACTGTTGAAAATAATGAACATCTGTTTCATAGCAATTGTGCAAATAGAAAAAAACTCAATGTTATCGTATCTATTTTTTTTCTTTGCCTTACTTTGGGGGATGTACAAATTATTGTTGCTGAAACAAATTCTCTGGTTCATAGAGGACCATCAATTAAAATGCAAAATTCTAATAATACTGATATACTTTTGTGGAATAGTTTTTCTTCTCTAGACAATAATTGGCATCTTAATAGTTGCAGTGTAATTTATCATTATGATTTAATAGTTTATTATATGTTATCATCAAAAAACGAGATGTTGAACTATTGATATACAATATATGGTAAAAAAGGCAGAGATAATTACATCATACCGATATGCCCAGAAATCATTCTAGAAACATGAGATATATATGACATAATAAATCTTGGAAAGATCTGTAATTTAAACTCTCCTTTTTGCTGATACACTTTTTGCTGATACACATATTAAATTTACTAAATATGGTAACGATTTCCCTTTATAATAAATAAAACCAATTGATATGGGCCCCATTGGCATTTTGATCAATCCTAATGATGTAATCTTAGAAATCATGCTTGAAATTTCTCTTTGTTTTCCTGCTTGTCACACCACCTTACATGGGTGGAACAGGACTGCGAAAACTATAAGAGATAGATCACTACCGCAGGGTCAATTCTCATATATACTAAAAGACCTAAAAAGATTTTCCTCGATCAGCAAATCGCGGTGTGGGGTTAAGCTTTATTATTATATATATCAAACCATGATTTTTTCATTATTATATAAATATACTAATATCACTTTAATGGTTTATTTCATTTATAATATAGTAGTAGATGTTGATATTGTAAATCAGTTGTCAATCACCATTCCTAGAAATGTAAGATAATGCAAGAATAAAAAAATAGTTTTTAAATGTTCACTTGTATGTATAATACACAAGATTTCTTTTCTAATTAATTTTTTATTATTTATTTTTCATAAATATTCTTTTCCCGCGAACATTAATAATTTAAATATTATTTAATAATAAATTATAACATTATTGATTTTCTTAACTGTTTGTTCTATTAGCTGTTAGAATATTGGTGACAATCGGTCTTCTTTCTGGAATAGGATTCAACATATCATGAATCAATCCATTCAATGAATCAGATACACCACTCAAATCATATTCATTCAGAATCCCATTCCTTATTTTCTGATAATCCGATCCATAATGAGGAAGTGTAACTTTAGTACTCAATTCTAGGATTATCAAGCCAAAACTAAAAATATCAGCCGGCTTATCGTTTCTGGACTCGGATAAAATTTCACCAGCCAAATAGACACGGTCTCCTTCTTTATCAAATCCCATACGAACTGGCCAATGTGTTGCAAGTCCAAAATCTCCAATCTTGAGTCTATCATATTTTGTAATGAAGACATTTCCAGGTTTGAGATCATTATGTATTATATTACTTTCATGAATATGTTTAAGGCCCTAAATAAATTAATAAAAAAATATTATTATTTATAAATTATTTAACGTCATTAATATATTAATTTGTTTATTTTACCATTGCAATATCGTTAATCATTTTCCAGATTTCTGACTCAGGAAGTTTGTTCTCTTTGTAATTCTTTAGGTAATATTCCAAACTGATATAATAATAATAATAATAATAATAATAATAATAAGTAATTATAATTATATTCATAATAGTCAATTAATTATCAATTAACCAAAATAAAAACAATTAATTCATTAGTTTACACATACGTGCCATGTTCACAATATTCAGTCTGAAGGTATAAATAACCTTCTTGTTCCCAGGCAGAGATTAATTCTAGACAATTTGAATGTTTTCCCAATTTCCATAAAATTTCAACTTCTTCAAGTTTATCTTGTCTATCACAAAGATTTTTAAATGGTCTTTTAGCCTTTTTGATCACATATGTTTTACCAGTTTTATCTCTAACTTTGAATGCTTCTGAAAATTCACCAATTCCAATTTTTTTAAGTATCCAAAAATTATACTCAAAAAAATTCTCCTCTGTATATGATGTTAATGTTGGATGTTTAAACGCTAAAAGAAACGTGATTAGATAATGACTTGTCACTAATTCTTCCAACAAGCAATTATAATTATAATTAAACAATAATAATAATTTTATTTACCATTACTAACACGACCAAATTTTTCAAAGTAATCTTTATCCAAAAAATGTGGATATTTAGTAGCATGATCGTTTAACATAAATGGATGTGTTAAATTATTAAAAAATATAAGAGATCTTTTTTTAGGTTTTGGTGAAGCAGGTGATAAATCTATCATTTCAAGCCTTGATGGACACCATAAACGAGATATAGGTGGTGTGGTGAAAATAAGCGATTGCTGTGGTGCACTTTTTGGTGTATCGTCATTGTCTGATTGAAGTTTAATAAATTTACGAGTGATAGGTGAAAGGTCTTCATTCAGGCTTCTACGCTTATGTAAATTTGATTTTATATTATTAACTTTGCTTATTGGTGTTGTTGTTACTTGAGATTGTCCTATTTCAAAGTTTGCACTCATATTTTAGGAGATGTATTAATATGTTGTATGTATATGTAAAGGATATGTGCGATCTAGGGAGATTTTATAAAGGAAATTCTATTTTATCGATTAAAATTTTGTAAACTATTGTGTTTACACATAAAAAAAATGTATTTATGAATAAAAATACACGCGTTCGCTAATTTATAAAATTTGTCGATCACTAAAATTTTTACATAATTTCAATTTCAATTTGTGTATAAGCAATAGTAAAAAGAGATCAGATGAGTGGCTAATCGATTAATTGAAGATGAAAAAACAAAACATTCATTATGTAAATAAAGTGCTAAAAAATAATTAATTTCTCAAATAATGATTTCTTCATTTAATAATAAGTTTTTAGATTTTGGATAGTATTATGGTAAATTGTGATCAAAGCTTTGTAGTTTAGATAACTATGTCGTACAATGATTTAGTAACGGACTGATCGATAAGCTGAATCAACGTGACCTTTAAAACACATCGAATTTATATTCCCACTTCTAACTGTTGAAGATTCACTTCAGCCTGACAAATTTTTTGTGATGACATTATCTTCTTCAATATATCTTTGTCATTTCAATATGGCTCATATTTCTTTTTCAATTCTTTCAAAATTTTATCCAATTTAATATATTTGTTTTTAGTGATGTTAGTTCGATGTCCAATATTCGTAAATTTTTTTCTTTGAAACTTTCATCATAACCTTTTAAATATTGCTCCTTATCAATTCATGCGTCGAGTTATAACATCATTTGTTAGTTAAGAAGAAGAGCCGAACCATTGTTTTTTTTTTAAACACCAATACTTGTGTTGCTAATAATGACACGGCTAATACTTTTTAAATAATTTTTAGAAGTATTAAATGTTCATTGATCCACAACTTTAGATCTTCTTTATTGCTTTTTAAGTAAACAAAATTAGGAATTATTTTCTTCGTCAATGCACTCTTTATATTTACAATACCTTCCAATAGACATCAAAGCTCTTTTATAATCGCAAAAATAAAATGAACAACAATGTCTTTATCTTGACTTTGGTTAAAAATTATTTTAATCAATAATTTAAAAACATCTTATTTCAATACTGTTTCGATACTATTATTACTCATTCCACTCAAATCACTAATCATTTTTTTCCGATCATCATTATTTGCTTTAAATTATTCATCAAAGTTCATTCTAAGCTTCTAGGGTTGTAAAACTAAGTGACGAGTGACTAAAAGTGAAAAACCTTAATTAAATAGAAACACTTAAGAAAAGTTATAACTTGAAAAAATATAAGATGTTTGTTTACAATTGCTATATATAAGTTAAAATCCTCGTGTCACGTGGTCTACCCAACAATTAGTTTTTAATTGAATTTCATCAAAACAAAAATTTAAGTTTAATGATGATAATATTGGCAATATTTACATTTCTTCTATGTTAATTATTTTTTTCGGGTTTGATGACTTAAACAGCAGTATAAACAGCGTGTTTAATTGAGTTACAACAATTCAATATAATAATCATTTAATAATAATGAATTTATTACAAAAGTTATTCTGCGATCAAAAAAAAAACATCAGATTATTTTTTTTTTCATTAATGCAAATAATATAAAATAAAATAAGTATGTAAAAAAAGCATTTATTGACTTCAAATAAAAGAAGGGAAAATCCGATTTTCTAAAATATATACCAATCAATTCTTCATTAATCATTCATTCATTGAATCTTTTGTTTGTTAAATCGGCCAATCCAACAATCAATCCGTAAAATGCCTTCCAGATTGACCGATTATAGCTTCTAATAACATGAAATTATTATGAATCATCATATCTAATAACATCACTAATTCGAAAAATTATAAAAAAATTTAATAATCAAATTACCAATAATCCGAATAAAATCACCAGAGAATAGCAACATGGGATTTGGATCATTATCTTCATTGATATTCTTTACTTCAAGTTCATTACGTTCTATTACTTTTTGTAAATCTGAAAGATCATTCTCTTCTCCCTCTGGATACCAAATCTTTACATCATTATCAATACCAGATGTGCATAATATTGGGAGATGTGGGTGTGGTTGAAGACAATTAACTACTCTCTATAATATATAAAGTTATTTAAAAATATATTTATGTATGCATTTATGCAAATGTATGTGAATCAATTTATTTTTGTGAACCTACCGAGTCACCTTTCAATAAATTAACTACTTCACCTGTGATTTTATCCCATATAAATATTCTACCATCATCTGAACCAGACATGATATATTCAGAATTTGCACCAAAAAAATTAGCTTCCTTAATCTATGGTAAAGATAATAGTAATATAATAAAAAATTATTACTATCATTATAAAAAGTAAAAAAATCGATGATAAAAGATAACAAACCATAGTTCTCGAGTTTACATGGCCACTATAAATCTTAATTACATCTTCTTCATGAGCTTCTTCATATTCACTATCTTCATCTTCTTCATCTGTGCTATAAATATTATCATCATATTTGTCAACATCATCTTCAGAATCGTCAACATCTTCTTCATCTTCTTCATCTTCTTCATCTTCATTTTCATCATCATCATCATCATCATCATCATCATAATTTTCATCATCATCATCATTAACAATATCATCATTATCATCATCTCCCATAATATCATCTTCATCATCATCAATAATCATAGGTCTGCATTTTGTTTTATTAACATAGTTATTATCATTACTAATAATATTACCCGCCTCACTTGGAACAGTAAATTCAATACTATTAACACCATCAACTTTATTATTATTATTCTCGTCATATTTCGTTGTTGCTTTACCCTCTCTATCAATATTATTTACATTACCATCACTGCTACCACTACCACAAGCAACACCTTCCATGCTAACTGGTGATAAGTGTGAGTGATTTGGGTTATTATCATCATTATTCATCAAATTATGATCAACAGTACCCCTATCAATGTTCTCATCATTAATTTGTTTTTGTTTTTCTTTTTTCTTAGAAAAAACATCATCATTATTATTATTGCCACCACTACTGCTACTATTATTATAGCTACGCTTGGGTGCTGTAGTACTAACAGAACTTTTATGAGATGATTTTTTTTTCTGATCAGCATTAGGCCTAATCAAATAAATTTTACTATTGCTATAACTAGCACATAAATCACCACCACCACATGGATCAAACTTTAAACTGGTCATTTTACTTTGAGTGGAGGCAGGATTATCACGCATTAACTTTGGAATGAATTGATATACTTGACTTTCACGATGATATGATGATTTCACTACATATCTACGATCATAAATACGTACAGTATCTTCACATGCAGCTGCCATATATACCGGATTATCAGGTCTTATGGATATAGTGGTTATACTCGTATCTTTTGTGCGACTTTTTATTATTCCTCTTCTTCTTTGTCTAGCTGGGTAAGGATTTCCCAATTCAGGTCGTCGTCCTCGCTGTTGATGTCGTTGTTGTTGTCGTTCCTGCAATGACTCATTATCATCATCACCATCTATAATGGTAGTAGTTCTGGTCCTGGTCCTGGCTCCAGTGCTGGTTCTATATGGACTGTTATTATTGTTTTTTTTGTCAATATTAATAGAATTTAGACAATGTTTGTCAGGATTACTTGTTGGATTCAGATCAAGAAATATGTGTTGTTTACAATGATTACATGGACACGATTTTTTGATTCGTAGATCATATTGATTGATTAGACCATCAGCGGAACATGAGAAAAATATATTTGAATCATTTGGATCTGGCAGTACTTCGAACCTATTTCACACAGGTATTTTGTTATTTATTTTAATATGAGACACTCAAGATCTTGTTGAGTTTGAGTTTTGATAAAAAATACTTACGCCATATAACTGTGACAATTAAATTCAGGTAAAGGAGACCAACTAGCATCATTTTCTACAATATGCTCAAGATCGGTGTATCTAACAACACCATCAGCAGAACATGAAATTATGTGTCTATCGTTTGATTTTGCCATGAAACGAGCAGAAAAAATATTTGCATTGTGACCAGATGGAATTGAATGAATAAGAGGCTTCTCTGGGTCTTCAAATGGTGCCCATATATTTATACGACAATCATCTATAGTATAATATGTATATATATTGTAATTAATTTAAAAAAACCATGATCAACGAATTAACTAACCTGAACCAGATATGATCAAGTTGCCAGCCTCGTTCCAAAAAACTGAATTTACGCAACCTCTATGATGTTTTAAACTTTGAAAATTATTAAATCGTTTTACCACATAACGATCAGAGTATAAAGCTTTGGAGTATAATGAAGGATGAAACGTGTATAACTCTCTGGCACTTAATATGTCGGTAATTCTTGAATTTGAATTTTGTCTTGGCATTAGAATTGAAAATTTGAGTTGTTTCTACAAGATAATTGTGCCATCCTCCAAAAGATCACTGGTATCACCAAGCAATACACGTTTACTATATATAGTAATAAAATTTTACATTTAAAGTTTTCTCTTATATTCGATCAAAGCACTTTTTGAACATTTTGTTTGAAAAAAATTAAACTTAGGATATTCAAGCTTGCTCTATTCAATGATACATATGTTTGGCCTTCGGCAAATATGTTTTCATCAATAGAGATGGTTATGTAGGGTCAAATCCTGTGTTTATGAACAGTCAATGAGAAAGCATTTTGGAGCGATAATTGTATAGACTTTATTAATTAATTGAGATTACTGTAACACGTGTATAGCAATAAAACAAATAGAATAACATTTTGTCTCGATGTTAGTCTGGCTCCTTTTTCCTTAATATTTATTATCCAACGTTAGATAACACGATCAAAGGAAACGATGAAAAATCCATCACATAATCTTTATTAATTAATTAGGTTAGGAATGTATTCTCACCACTTGTTATTATAACAATATAATAAATAGGATAACATTTTTCTTGGATCATCTCGATGCTAGTCGGGTAACACGTCACATATAATAAGTATTCTCATCACTTGTTATCTATACAAATATATTATTATTGTAAATGTGCAATTGATCTAAAAGGAATTGATTAAGATAATTTGTGTATGTGTACCAAAATGCAAAAATAAAAATATATCCCTCTCATCTCTTGTTAAATTCCTACTTCATCACCATGTTTTGCTTATTTCGGACAATTTCTTCAACAACTTTTTCAAAAGATTTTCCTCTCTTAACACTCTTTCTTTCATTTCCTGTTGATGCAAAGGATCTTTTATTTTATTGAAAACCCCACTTGATTCAACAAATGGTCCTCAAGTTTTTTTCAGTGCTGCTCGATCCTTGTTGACATTTTTTTTCTTTTTTTTATTGTTTGATGATGATGCTGATGACGACGACAATGATGACGACGACTAGATAACGACGACGACGATTCTATAACTGGATATGTAAATTCAAATCTCAGGACCTTCAAATGCAAAAAATTATTCCCAATTTTCCAACCGTTGAAATTTTAGTCCTTTTTAGATTTAGTATACATTATTGTTATTAGTGTCAACATTAGATATTATCAGATAATTTAAAATTTTTTAATTATTATATTACTATATACAATAAATATACACCACCCCAAAAACTAATAAAGTTGAATTTTCCTCTAACCCTCTTATTAATTAATTAAAATATACAGCGGTTACACTATCAAATGTTTAATCTGGTACTACGATACAGATCTATAATTTAATTGCCTATACCATTTTTTTATATTAAATTACGATCGATCTGGTACTACGATACAGATCTATAATTTAATTGCCTTATACCATTTTTTATATTAAATTACGATTGATCTCATTACAAGATTTCATGTGATCGAGATGTTATTTAATTGATAAATTATTTTTAGTCAAAAATACGTAGATAACCTGGTCAAGACTATTTCCTTTTCAAACACACGCAGAAAAGAAGGAACTTGTCGAGTTGCTAGTACAATGGAATTACGTGAGTGAACAAATATTATTTTATTTTCATAACAACAATAGAGAGATGATGATAAATGAATAATTGTAAGGTTAAAATCTTGTGCAATTCGGTAGTAAGTAAGACAATTTGAAATCCTATACATTAGTAAGTAGACTTTTTAAAAGTTGAAACCCGATGCGTTCGGTAGTAAATTTTCTTTATGAAAGTTGAAAACTTATGCGTTCGGAAGTAGGACAATGTGAACTCTTGTACATGTGTTAGTAACTTTTGAAAGTTGAAATCCCTATGCGTTTGCTAGTAAGCTTTTTTGAAAGTTGAAATCCTATGCATTTGGCGAGTAAGCTTCGAAGGTGAAATCCTGTGTATTTGCAAAGTAATATTGTTCGAAATCTTACGCGTTTGCTAGTAAGCTTTTTTGAAAGTTGAAAACTTATGTGTTCGGAAAGTAGGACAATGTGAACTCTTGTACATTTGTGTTAGTAACTTTTGAAAGTTGAAATCCTATGCGTTTGCTAGTAAGCTTTTTTGAAAGTTGAAATCCTATGCATTTGGCGAGTAAACTTCGAAAATGAAATCCTGTGTATTTGCAAAGTAATATTGTTCGAAATCTTATGCGTTTGCTAGTAAGCTTTTTTGAAAATTGAAATCCTATGTACTCGCTAGTAAACTTTGAAAGTTGAAACCTGTGTATTCGGATGTAGAGTTGTTTGAAATCGTATGCATTTGAAAGTAAACAGTGAGCATAAACATATACATTAATCTGATCGGAGAATAAATGATTTAATATAATCAATTATATATCAAATCACAACTAATAACTATTACCTTATTTTTAATATTTTAATATAATAGAATAAATTTAAATACGAGTTGGCAGTCAATAAGTTTTGGCCACTACCAATAATCACTTCTTCTTCGCCCTTCTTTACTTCACAATCCTGTTATTTCTGGTAATTTATACAATTATTTATTTATTTATAATCAGCTATTTTTTATTATATCAATGATCGCAATGATCAAAATTGATGATGATGGTGATTGTTATAATTGCATGTGGCGTTTTTTATGCATTTAGCATTATTTAATACGTGCATTGTAATGGCTATTTCTTATAATAATAATAATTTAATAAAACATTCATTTTATTTTAATGGTTAAGTCATGTGTTTTTATGATATTATCGCTATTTGCACTTGGTGCAGTGTTCGAGTGTTTTTATAGAAATAAAAATAACCATCTGATCTGTGATACGCAGCTTATTCATGATCAGTAACCAATTTCTTTGTTCAATTAGAAATTTTGCAAACTTTATTGTGTCATGGAATTATTTAAAAAAATTCACATCAAATCAATTTGGGAATATCTCAATTATCTTTGAAGCTACAATTCCATCTATAGAAGTTTGCCTAAACTACTAAATTTCGGCAATAGTTTCAGCAAATTAAAAAATTTAGTTTCGGTTTTCAAGCAAGCAAAATGCCGAAACTTTAGGCATAATTATTTGTGCCGAAACTAAATCTCTAAATCTATGTGCCGAAACTATAAAATGTGCAAGCAATTTGTGTAACTAAGGATTCATAAAGCATATATTAACACTAACAATTTAATAATGATTTAATTTGAATAATTAAACCCGCATATTAAATAACCTTTCCACGAAAATAATTAAATTTTTTTTTGTATTTATTACCATGTGATATATCACTTGTGTATGGGATAGTAAAAATTTATTACTTTAAAATAATGGTATCCGACCAAGAAACATCAAATACTTTAGATAATTATTTTCGACATGAAAATGATGATACACTCCCTGGACAAAAGTTTCGGTCACCACAAAACAATTAATTACGCAAAAACGTACATAATAAAACACAAATAAATTTCATCAAATTGTGACTAAAGTCCTCAAGAATATGTACGCAAAATTTCAAATTTTTGTAATGTTTGGGAGAATAACAAAAAAATAAAAAGTTCGACCAAAAATAATTTTTTGGAAATGATCTCTAAAATTTTGATTTTATTTGCATTTATACCACTTCTCAAAAAAAAAAAAAAACGCACATAATAATCACACCTGAAATTTTACTTATTTGTATGCAAGTCAACACTTTATTGGCCGCCATTATTGGATATAACAGCTTCTATTCTTCTCGGCATACTTTCTATCAAATTCATATAAATATTTCTAGAAATTTGATTCCATTCTTCATGTAAAGTGGCCTTAAGTTCAACATTATTTTTAAATTTATTTGGACGTTTCCGAATACGAATTTCTAATTGATTCTACAGATGCTCTATTGGATTCAAATCAGGAGATTGACTTGGCCAATTTTTCAAAATTTTTATTTTTTTGTTTCAATCCAATTTTTGACGATTTTTGCTTTGACATTTTTTAATTTTCAAAAATTTCAAAACATTTTTACAAAAAAACTTGTATAAAAAACATATGACGTAATTTTTTAGAATCTAATCTTTCATCTTTCATATGTCACGATTTCAGGTGTGGTTATTATGTAAGTTTCTGAGAAGCTGTTTTTTTGGCAAACTACGATTTTTCAGAAGATTTTTGGTCGAACTTTTTATTTTCTTAACTGTCATTCTCCCAAACATTACAAAAACTTGAAATTTTGCAGACATATTTTTGAGAACTTTAGTCACGATTTGATGAAATTTATTTGTGTTTTATTATGTATGTTTTTGCGTAATTAATTGTTTTGTGATGACCGAAACTTTTGTCCAGGGAGTGCATATATGAAATTTCATCAATTACACCAGAATTGTCAAATAACAAAAGAAATCATGCTGGAAATAGACCATTCTCGGAAGTTTGGACCCATTTTACAAAAGGAGATGAAAAAACCAAAGGTCATTACGAAGCAACTTGTAAATATTGTCATCAGAGATGGGATAGAGCTTATCCTAGTAGATTGGAAATTCATCTAGCAAATCAATGTATTGAGTTTCAGCATTCATTTGTAGTTTCGACAACAAACCGCAGTTTCGGCACAGTGATCGAGTTTCGGCAACAAGCCGCAGTTTCGGCAAAGTGATTGAGTTTCGGAGTATTAGTTTCTACAACCTTTTTTTTTTCGAGTTTCGGCATTATCACATTTTAGTTTAGGCAAACTTCTATAATTCCATTGTTGTTATGAAGATTTTAACGTTTGTTGATAATTTAAAATATCAACCAAATTACACTTGTGATAAATTAATATTTGCTATTAATATTCCAATTCTTGGAATAAATTGATGTTCTTGGACTCATTCGAAAGCCAAAGTTCCATCATTTATTATTTGAATTTTAAAGATCGTTCATGATTTAAAATGTCCACAATTTACGCCTAAATTAACTTATATAATTAATCATTTGATTTATCTTCACCAGAATTCAATTGATAACTTTTGTAATCTTACCTCCTTAATATACATATTATGCTTATACATGATTATCATTCATTGATTTATAAATATTTTTTTTTGATCTCTTGTATATACACTCCAACAGGAGGGAACGTACTGGGAACACAAAATTAACAGGAGGGAACACAAAAATTTAACCCATGCAATTTTGTGATTG